CATTTTATGTTTTATTTTGGATTATAAAGGTGGATTATCTCTTTTTTTAGATATATTCGTCATATCTATGCCGGGACATAAAACGAAATTTAGCCAAACATGGTTGGAAAAAACGTATCCTGGGATGCCGGGGGCACTTCTGTGAGACGATGGCTGAAACAAGGTGTTTTTTTTGTGAAATCGTGAATAAATTGAGTGTCTATCTCAAACGCGTTTTCTGTTTATCATATTAATAGCCGATACAGATCTATCTGTGATCTGTAGACTGTTCAAAAACAATAGTTTCTTGAAATTTTTCTCAAACTAGCATTTTCTAACTCACGAGGAAAGGTCCCCAAGTGTGCAATCGCTTTTTGCTTGAACTCTAGTGGACAATAGCTAATCGACTGCGCTAAACCCGAATCTGACATCGATTTGTGCTGCTAGGCGTCCACAGAGCGGATTTCTGGGAAACCATGTTTTCAGGAACTCTGAAAAATAACCAAACCCTTTCTTAATGAGACATGATTGTAGACCGCAAATTTCCGATTAAAATGCGATATCTCCCAGCTCTGCACGACCTTTCTTTGCAAAGTTAGAATTTACACGAAAAGCCCTAAATTAATTTCATCTTATTTGTCTAGCTTTGAGCCGACAATGAACATTTAGGGCTTTTCGTGTAAATTCTATAACTTTGCAAAGAAAGGTCGTGCAGAGCTGGGAGATATCGCATTTTAATCAGAAATTTGCGGTCTACAATCGTGCATCATTAAGAAAGATTTTGGTTATTTTTTAGAGTTTCTGAAAACATGGTTTTCCAGAAATCCGCTCTCTAGACACCTAGCGGCACAAACCGATGTCAGATTCGGGTTCAGCGCAGTCGATTACCTATTGTCCACTAGAGTTCATGCAAAAAGCGATTGCACACTTGGGGACCTTTCCTCGTCAGTTGATGCAAGGTATCAATAATATCTGATTCAGTCAAGAAAGATGTTTGGACACTGAATAATTCATTATGGCATGTCCTTTCATAAATTTTGAAAACTATCTATGATGTATATAGGGCCTACATCCAGTATTACTATTTTTCGGTTGTTCGTTTTGATTATATATGGCGTTTGAGTACTTTTTCTTTTCCTGTCGACATGTTTAATTATTCAATCTACTAGAGAAAACAGCATCTTATAAAAAATAAACCTTTATTATATATAGAGAGGTGAGAAGTGCGGACTTAATTTTTGATTATTTCACAGCATTCTTTTCTCTGTTAGGCATTCTATTGTCATTAATCTTTATTCTATTTACGTAAGTGTATTCTCTTTACACTTACATATACAATATTAAGTGTATTCTATTTACACTTACAAATCATCAAAAATCGTTTGTTGTAGAATGGATGGAAAATAATGAAAAGTCGCTTAAACTTTTGTCCGCTGGATAAAAACGCCCTTTTCTCCTGGGTAAACAGCCTGTACTCTGAAAAGACGGAAATAGTTCGTTTTTCTAGCCCATCGTCTGTGGTATCCGAATCACTATCTGGATGCTAATTAGCGTTTGAAATTGATGGAGAAAACTGAAAATATAAAATCGCTTAAACCTTTTGGGCGCCACTTCATAAAGAATGTGAGGATTGCGTTCTGTCATTATATCTAGAAAACTACGAACCCTTTTCAAGTAAAATAAAAAAGAAATCTGTGTGTGGAATTAAGAAGCATAAGTATATGCAACAATATCAATAGTAAGCTATTAAGTGTATAGATCAGAGTTAACTTAATTAGTTTTCACACCCAGCAGGAAGATACGAATCAATCAAAAACAAAAAACCTGTTTGAATGTTTCTTCTACATTGCTTAATTTCACTGTTAGATAGTTGTATAAATAATATGATTATTTTTTTTCACGGAAGAAGTTACTCTTATCAGCTATGTCTTTCACACCACAAATAGTAGTGTTTTTAACTGAGATTATCCATTTATTTTCTCGAATATTATGGGTATACGGAATAGTCTTGGCTGATGATGCATATGAACATGGTTTATCATCACCTTCCAAAAACATATTATTTAAACAATCATTTTCAGTGTTGTTCATTATCGCTGGTAAAACATGACAAAAAGATATTTTCTCAAAATAACACGTTCCTAAATTACGATCGTTGTAATACCATGAAATCGACGTATTATGTTGATAATTGATACCGATATAGCGTGGAAGACCGAACACTTCATATGAAGAATGTTTATTAAAAAATGATGTGCTAGTTAACTGATAAGCAATTGAGTGACTATCCTTATCATCACTCTAAGTAAAAAATGTTTGTGTAATAATTAATGTACCGATTGGAATAATTAATGAAGTATCACTTATTTTTTCGTTCCCGTTTGTCGTATTATTGTTATTTATAGCGAAATGAAACGACTGATGCTAATAAGCGATTTGGTGTTAAGAATAAAGGTTGTTCAAATTGTGTCAGAAAATCTGGTGAACACTGCAATAGTGTATTGTATAATTGACCAGCTTCATCCTTTGATAGATAATCTATGTTTGGTTTTCCATCTATGAGTTTTTTTAGTGATGCTCGTATCTTGTCATAGTGGAGTTCGTCTTTGATAGCCGGTAATAACTTTTCTTCAATGTTATTAACGATTTTTTCGATCGTTTTTAGTTCGTTAGCAAGATACATATATCGTTCTTTTAGCTCATCGATCGAGTGTCGAGAATTATTTAATTCTTCTACGATTAATTTTTCGTTTTCGGTAACAGATATTACAGAAGCTATTGTTGATTTTAAGAATTCATCGCCTTGTTGTACATGTACCAGGATTTTTTCTTGCTTACTTTTTATATTAGATATTTGAATACTATTATATGACGATAAACTAAGAGCTACAGTACCGACACCTAAAGTGATTAAGTCAGCTATAAATCTTTTTTCGCGTCTCAATACCGATTAAAATTTAGCTATAGTTCCGATTATAAAATGGCCTGTTTGATAATGGGTTTATCAGGACCAACGTCGGATTTTTATTGTCTCTGGTGTAAATACTGTAAGAAAAGCAAAAATAACGATCTATCAAGAACAGAAGCAAAACAGTCGAGCGATTGGTCATCAGATGATAGCGATACATTCTCGTCAGTATCGACTTTGTCGTCCACAGAAACGAGTGACGAAGTATGCGACTAATAGTTCGTTATGTCTACATCTAATTCTACGTACTTTTTTAGGAAAATGCAAATAGCGATTCAAACCGCGGCCAAAAACTTTCCCCACAGAAAAGCAGTGGTTCAGAAGAGTATGATTATGTAAGCACCTATATTTAATATGATAATCTGTACTCTGATGCTTTCCCATCTCTATACTTCCTAAAAAATCTCAGAGGAAAATTTTTCACAACAACATTCAAAACAGAAAGATTCTCCCACTGTTATCAATGATTGTGGTTTTCATATTATAGTTTGATTCATACTGTTATGAAGCAAAACAAGAACGAGACAATCAAAGAAACCTAGATGAAAAGAAGAAGAAAACGGCTACAATGGAAAAAAGAAAAACAGCAGTATGAAAAGAGTGTTCGAAAGCATCATTTCGAAAACTGGTCAGCATTCGACACAAATAAAAATGCACGATCAGTTGAAGAACAGGCTATAGAAAGCAACAAAGCACATCCCGGTTTTGGCTATAATGGACGACCGTTGTTTAAAGGTCATTTTCGGTTAGTGAATGTATCCTGTTCTTTATCTATGTTTAAAACAATTTGCTCATCTGCAGTTCTCTTTACGCACTATCTAAATTTTTAGATATCAGGACATAGTTGTGGATGTACTGCACATGATGCTGCGTCTATGTGACGTTTTGCTCAAATATTCAATCCGAGCCGCATGTGAAGTTAAACTAAAATAAAAAAAAAGATTCACAAATCACTGTGCAAGAAGCCGAAGATCAAGTAGAAAACGCATTGTTATTTTTCAAAATACATGCAAAACAAACACGTGTAAGTCTGTTTGAATTGATTTCTGTGCCGGATATTTAATAAAATTAGAACATGCTCGGAAAGATCCATAGTGAGATTGAAGAGTTAATCATAATATGAATAAACTTACTATAAAGCCGTGTTAAACAAACATCTCCCCATACTCTTTTATCCACAAATTTTTCTCTATGTGATTCTAGGTTCATATTAAATTTTCGCTTGAAAAGAAGAAAATCGTCGTAGCCAGCTCAGTAACGGGTCCAATGCATTTACGGTTCACCTCAACTTTACCATTGGACATAATCATGCAAGATAAACATAGAGCTCAAAAGATGATGGCATTGATCAAGGATATTTTTGAATTACTAAAAAGATCAAAGTTAGATGTTAAAAAAAGCGAGGAAGCCGAATATATCACACAACTATCGAAAGACGCCAAACGATGGGGCTCAAGATATAGTCTATTATTTGGAGTCGACGAAGTTACTCCTTATGTTCATGTATTAAGCGCACATATTGGTGAATTTTATCGGATTTTTCAAAACTTAAACAAGTTTACATTGCAAGAAGTAGAAGAACTAAACGATTTAATGACACAAGATTATTTTAGAGGCAGTAATAAAAAAGGAAACTATTTTACTCAAATGTTAAGAAAGCGAATATGTGAGTTATTATTAGCATTATCCGTTCGAATGTTAACCGAAATACGAATCGAATTAGGTAAAACACCACGGGTTGATGCTAGCACTGAATCATCCAGCGAAGATGAGCTGCTATAAATCGTTCAACTGTCTTATGGCTAATTTAATCATCTGTTGATTTAATCATCTGTTGCACCAAATCCGTTTTACAATTTAATAATGTTATTCGTAAATAAAAGACTGTCATTATTAGTAGCATTTACTTTCTCAACAGCTAAATATAGTTTCGTTCGTCATACATAACAACATTATGTCAACACAGACTGTAGATATCTACATTCTGATTGTAATTTGCACGATAAACGAATAATTTGCTGTCAAAAAGAGTAAAAATAAAACAGATTGAATCAAAACTGTTAAACATACAATACGGAGAAAATAAGCATTGAAAACGATAATTTAGTGAGACACATCCAGCAGAGGTAAACTTTAACTGTGCAAAAGCAACAGTAGCTGTTCATTAAAATATTAAAGCTTAAGAGCGATACAAAACAATAAAGAGGACATACAATATGATTTTATATCTACTTTGAACTTATTTTAAACACAAAACTAATCAAATAACTAAACTAATCATAATAAAACTAATCGCTTCTTAAGATCATGTTAGAATTA